GTATTTTTTGTTTTCATATCATTAATATTATCAAAAATGATTTTGGATAAATTACACTTTTAATTTTTGTAGCTTAACTTAAATTTCGCTTTGGTCTCTACTGTTTCAATTTGAATAATTTAATATCTTCGAATGTTAAAATTAAAGGTTAATTATAATTTTGACACTTATAGTTCCCTTTGGTCTCTATAGTTTCAAATTGAACAATTTGATCCTTACATTTTAAACGTAGTTTCAATTTAGTCTTTGTCCAAATTAGAGCTTATAAAATTAACAATTTCAAGACATTTGTTAATTTTTTAACATGTACATATAGGCAAACAGAAATAATTTAGATAGAATGATCACATTGAAACTGGATTTCAACTGTAGGGACCAAATTGTTCAAATTGAAACAATAAGGACTATAATGAAATTTTAGCCAAAACATAGGGATAGAAATTGTAATTAATCCTAAAATTAACAATTTTATACCATGTGTCAATCTCTTTTGATATATACATAGAAAAAAAATTGATGATAATTTGGACAAAAAGAACAAATTATTGAAATCAAAACAATACAAACCAAAGTAAAATTTGGTTTAAAGTCTATAGATGGAAAAGTGTATATCCAAATAGCATTTTTCTTAAAAGAATATAATATGCAAGAATCCTTATGACTTGCATTACACGTATGCACCCACCCCTATAAATTAATGACACCTGCTCAGTCTCTTTCTCACACACAAAACACTTTCTCTCTTTCCTCTCTCTCTCCCTCCCTCGGATTTACACTTGTCCAAATATCACCTTCATGCAGTCTGAAAATTATTGAAAATTTCTTTTTTCACAACAAAGCTGACATTGGTCTGATCGGCCGGTACTTCAGAAGCGGACGCACACAGTGATTGCAATCATATAACTGGTAAGTTCAAAAATCTGTTTTCTCAATTTCATTATTATTATTTTTAATTAAGAAAAATTAGCGATTACTTGTTAAATTAGCATTTTAAAAAGTTAAATATTAATAATGAGCACTACTATAACATTTTCCATTATTAGATTATGTCTAATATTCTATATATTCTATTCTGTTTATCACTCTAATCAATGTGTAGCTCATCACTCTTTAATTTGTTGTATGTACTATATGATCATATGGGAATGACAATTAAATGGTAGCTTGTAACACTTAGTTTGGATGATATCTTCACTAATGCTTGTCATTATCTGCTGAAATAGTCTCTCACTTCTCATGTATAAATGAGTATGCATAGACACGGATTCATATCACTAGAACTATTTATAATATAATCAATACTGAAATATTTAATAATGTTTTTTTCAATAAAAATAGCGTGAAAATTATGAAAATTTAACACCTAGGGATGGTGAGCCTATGTAGATTGTGAAAATTCATTAGTTACTAATATGGTAAAAAGGTTTTTGAAATTGCAAGGGACAATCACCCCCATTTTACAATTCTGGAGTCACAACTGGGTGTAGTTTCTCAGGATCCCCTTATCCTGCTCTGTCTTCTACTCTTTCTTTTATCTTTCTCTTTGTTTCCTTTATTGGTTCCTCACCAATTTAGGGTCTTATGCTTCTTGCTCTTCTCTCTTTGTTGATGTAAGCTGTGTATGTTATACTTCTTCATCAATAAAGTGGGCTTTTGTTGATCAAAAAAATATATATACACATATAGCATGTAGTTTGCAAAAATTCAATAGTTAGTACTAATATGGTAAAAAGGTTTTTGAAACTGGAAGAGGGACAATCAACCCCCCTTTTCCACTCTGTATAGGTCCATCCGTGTATATATGTCTATCTATTTATACTATCATATATATGTGAACACCGTACTTGATGTCCAAACTTTCAAACCTTCTCCTTATGTCACGTGACAGATTTTTATATGCTAAAATAAAAAATTATTATGCTATAATATAAGTAAGATTTGAACTTAAGAACTTAAGTTTCATTAAGAACATACTTAATATTTAAATAATTTATATATTATGATATCAATTTCTTTATTATTTATTTATTTATTTATATTTTTACTTATCGCTACTGTGTGTATATATATAACATGATGAAGCCATGCATACTAATAGAGTGACACCGATAGAGTTTGACTAAACTACCTCAATATTATGCATGTAAATTTGTCCAAGGTTGGCCTAGTGTTGGGGAGATAATACAAACATCCCTCTAACAGCTTAAATTTTTATGAGGCAGCTCCTCTCTAGTTCATAGGCACTGTTTTGACCTATGTGGTTATCACGGGTCACACTTTGATAATTTAAATCATTTATTTTTTAGACTACGATGTATAGATCATTTATGGGGGAAAAAAAAAGTAGATCGATTTTATATTTTGGGAGACATGTTAGTTTATGGTATTTAGAGTCATTTGGGAATAAGATTTTTTTAGTAACTTTTTTATTTTTTGGCTAAAATATAAGATGAAAAAAAAAACTAATATTCATATGTTTGGCATAATTTTTGATTTTTTACAAATAAAAAAAATAATAAAAATAATTGTGCAAAATGTAGAGGGAATGGAAATGAATATTTGTTATTTGTTGGCTTTTTAGTTTTTTTAACGACTTTTTGACTTTTAGGCTAAAATGTCCGCTTGCCAAACGAGGCCTTAGTTACAAAAAAAATAAACAACAAATATTATTTGAAAATTAAAACATTCATATCTTGAGAGACAAATGCAATAAATTAATGTGTCTACGGTTATCAGATTGATCTAATTTTTTTCATGAATGATCAATACATTGTGGTCTAAAAAATAAACAATTCAAATCATCAAAGTGTGACCTATGGTGGCCCTACAGGCTGAAACATTGTCATCCAATCCAAGAGTTGCCTTCAATTTTTAAATGAGTCTGTTGTTAACATTTCAATATTTTATCCAAGCATTATAAATAATAAAGTTATCTCTCTCTCTAACACTTTAAACTCGACAAAGTCAGGCTAAACCAACCTAGAAGGAATTTTTTGGTGCCAGTAGTGTAGATATCATGTGATACCTTCCTCTATTGTGATTGGATTTGACAGTAGAGTCTATTGTATGTATGTTGAGTGTTTGAGAGACAGTAAAAAATATCTACATTTGTGATTAGTGGACTGGGCAATGCCATGTGGTACCCTCCTAAGATACAAAAGAATTTCTCAACGTAGATCCCTTTGGATAGATCATTAGTCGAGGTGTCATGCGGTACCCTCCTACCATTCAAATTAGTTTTTAGCGATAGATTTAGAATATCATCACAAAAAACGTCACTAAGTGTCAGTTTTAGCGACAAATTTAGAAAATTGTCACAATTTTTTTTTTTAGCAACGATTCTATTAGTATTAACTTTCAACAACGAATTGATAGAACTTAATAAAAATTAAATCCAATTATTATGGTTTGCTCGTAATTTATCCATAATATTATATATCATCCAAATGTATAGATCCTGCAATACACTAATTAATTAAATCTCAACCAAACCAATTAATTCAATTTCAACCAAACCATCTCTTTTTATAATAACTTTCTTGACACATTTTCATGATTAGTAGACTTTTCCATTGCTATATGTTTAGTTAGGGCCAATTCTTATGCATACCCATGCACATTATAGTTTTCTTGTACATGCTTTTAGAATTCATAAAACCTTTTCATTTTGATATTTATGTGTTTATAATTTTAGAATAACTATAATTTATTTTTTCTTTTTAATTCTTTTTCTAAGAAGTAATAATCATATTCGAATCAATTATTATGATTCCCGATGTAATGTTCAAGATGTGTAAAAAAATATTTTAAAATATTCAAAATTAGGTAGTTCAAAATTTTGTGGTTCAAATGGCTCAAATCACTCAAAACGACGTCGTTTTGATAGATTTTGAGTGTAAAACGACGTCGTTTTGACAGATTTGAGCCATTTGAGCCACAAAATTTTGAGTTACCAAATATTTTTCAAAACAAAAGTATCTAATACTAACAAATAAGGACGGGGATATTTTTACACTTACACACTTTTACATTTTTATCAATAATTTGTAACTATATTTTGTTTCATATTACACAAAAGTGAAAAAATATATAAAAAAAATAAAAAAAACAAAAAAAAATAATTAAATAGAAATTTCATATAATATATATAAAAATAATGTGACAATTACATTATTAAAAATAAAAGTTAAATTGATAGACCTTTGTTTTAAAATGATATGCCCGGTCACTTCATTCTAATTATAAAATTTGTATGTATATTTTGTTTTCATATCATTAATATTATCAAAAATGATTTTGGATAAATTACACTTTTAATTTTTGTAGCTTAACTTAAATTTCGCTTTGGTCTCTACTGTTTCAATTTGAATAATTTAATATCTTCGAATGTTAAAATTAAAGGTTAATTATAATTTTGACACTTATAGTTTGATTCAAATTTCACTTTGGTCTCTATAGTTTCAAATTGAACAATTTGATCCTTACATTTTAAACGTAGTTTCAATTTAGTCTTTGTCCAAATTAGAGCTTATAAAATTAACAATTTCAAGACATTTGTTAATTTTTTAACATGTACATATAGGCAAACAGAAATAATTTAGATAGAATGATCACATTGAAACTGGATTTCAACTGTAGGGACCAAATTGTTCAAATTGAAACAATAAGGACTATAATGAAATTTTAGCCAAAACATAGGGATAGAAATTGTAATTAATCCTAAAATTAACAATTTTATACCATGTGTCAATCTCTTTTGATATATACATAGAAAAAAAATTGATGATAATTTGGACAAAAAGAACAAATTATTGAAATCAAAACAATACAAACCAAAGTAAAATTTGGTTTAAAGTCTATAGATGGAAAAGTGTATATCCAAATAGCATTTTTCTTAAAAGAATATAATATGCAAGAATCCTTATGACTTGCATTACACGTATGCACCCACCCCTATAAATTAATGACACCTGCTCAGTCTCTTTCTCACACACAAAACACTTTCTCTCTTTCCTCTCACTCTCCCTCCCTCGGATTTACACTTGTCCAAATATCACCTTCATGCAGTCTGAAAATTATTGAAAATTTCTTTTTTCACAACAAAGCTGACATTGGTCTGATCGGCCGGTACTTCAGAAGCGGACGCACACAGTGATTGCAATCATATAACTGGTAAGTTCAAAAATCTGTTTTCTCAATTTCATTATTATTATTTTTAATTAAGAAAAATTAGCGATTACTTGTTAAATTAGCATTTTAAAAAGTTAAATATTAATAATGAGCACCACTATAACATTTTCCATTATTAGATTATGTCTAATAGTCTATATATTCTGTTTATCACTCTAATCAATGTGTAGCTCATCACTCTTTAATTTGTTGTATGTACTATATGATCATATGGGAATGACAATTAAATGGTAGCTTGTAACACTTAGTTTGGATGATATCTTCACTAATGCTTGTCATTATCTGCTGAAATAGTCTCTCACTTCTCATGTATAAATGAGTATGCATAGACACGGATTCATATCACTAGAACTATTTATAATATAATCAATACTGAAATATTTAATAATGTTTTTTTCAATAAAAATAGCGTGAAAATTATGAAAATTTAACACCTAGGGATGGTGAGCCTATGTAGATTGTGAAAATTCATTAGTTACTAATATGGTAAAAAGGTTTTTGAAATTGCAAGGGACAATCACCCCCATTTTACAATTCTGTAAGTCCATCCTTGTATATATATACACATATAGCATGTAGTTTGCAAAAATTCAATAGTTAGTACTAATATGGTAAAAAGGTTTTTGAAACTGGAAGAGGGACAATCAACCCCCCTTTTCCACTCTGTATAGGTCCATCTGTGTATATATGTCTATCTATTTATACTATCATATATGTGAACACCGTACTTGATGTCCAAGCTTTCAAACCTTCTCCTTATGCCACGTGACAGATTTTTATATGCTAAATAAAAAATTATTATGCTATAATATAAGTAAGATTTGAACTTATTAAGAACTTAGGTTTCATTAAGAACACACTTAATATTTAAATAATTTATATATTATGATATCAATTTCTTTATTATTTATTTATTTATTTATATTTTTACTTATCGCTACTGTGTATATATATATAACATGATGAAGCCATGCATACTAATAGAGTGACACCGATAGAGTTTGACTAAACTACCTCAATATTATGCATGGAAATTTGTCCAAGGTTGGCCTAGTGTTGGGGAGATAATACAAACATCCCTCTAACAGCTTAAATTTTTATGAGGCAGCTCCTCTCTAGTTCATAGGCACTGTTTTGACCTATGTGGTTATCACGGGTCACACTTTGATAATTTAAATCATTTATTTTTTAGACTACGATGTATAGATCATTTATGGGGGAAAAAAAAAGTAGATCGATTTTATATTTTGGGAGACATGTTAGTTTATGGTATTTAGAGTCATTTGGGAATAAGATTTTTTTAGTAACTTTTTTATTTTTTGGCTAAAATATAAGATGAAAAAAAAAACTAATATTCATATGTTTGGCATAATTTTTGATTTTTTACAAATAAAAAAAATAATAAAAATAATTGTGCAAAATGTAGAGGGAATGGAAATGAATATTTGTTATTTGTTGGCTTTTTAGTTTTTTTAACGACTTTTTGACTTTTAGGCTAAAATGTCCGCTTGCCAAACGAGGCCTTAGTTACAAAAAAAATAAACAACAAATATTATTTGAAAATTAAAACATTCATATCTTGAGAGACAAATGCAATAAATTAATGTGTCTACGGTTATCAGATTGATCTAATTTTTTTCATGAATGATCAATACATTGTGGTCTAAAAAATAAACAATTCAAATCATCAAAGTGTGACCTATGGTGGCCCTACAGGCTGAAACATTGTCATCCAATCCAAGAGTTGCCTTCAATTTTTAAATGAGTCTGTTGTTAACATTTCAATATTTTATCCAAGCATTATAAATAATAAAGTTATCTCTCTTTCTAACACTTTAAACTCGACAAAGTCAGGCTAAACCAACCTAGAAGGAATTTTTTGGTGCCAGTAGTGTAGATATCATGTGATACCTTCTTCTATTGTGATTGGATTTGACAGTAGAGTCTATTATATGTATGTTGAGTGTTTGGGAGACAGTAAAAAATATCTACATTTGTGATTAGTGGACTGGGCAATGCCATGTGGTACCCTCCTAAGATACAAAAGAATTTCTCAACGTAGATCCCTTTGGATAGATCATTAGTCGAGGTGTCATGCGGTACCCTCCTACCATTCAAATTAGTTTTTAGCGATAGATTTAGAATATCATCACAAAAAACGTCACTAAGTGTCAGTTTTAGCGACAAATTTAGAAAATTGTCACAATTTTTTTTTTTAGCAACGATTCTATTAGTATTAACTTTCAACAACGAATTGATAGAACTTAATAAAAATTAAATCCAATTATTATGATTTGCTCGTAATTTACCCATAATATTATATATCATCCAAATGTATAGATCCTGCAATACACTAATTAATTAAATCTCAGCGAAACCAATTAATTCAATTTCAACCAAACCATCTCTTTTTATAATAACTTTCTTGACACATTTTCATGATTAGTAGACTTTTCCATTGCTATATGTTTAGTTAGGGCCAATTCTTATGCATACCCATGCACATTATAGTTTTCTTGTACATGCTTTTAGAATTCATAAAACCTTTTCATTTTGATATTTATGTGTTTATAATTTTAGAATAACTATAATTTATTTTTTCTTTTTAATTCTTTTTCTAAGAAGTAATAATCATATTCGAATCAATTATTATGATTCCCGATGTAATGTTCAAGATGTGTAAAAAAATATTTTAAAATATTCAAAATACTGAATACTTGGTCATGTTCCAAGAAAGTAAGTGTTAAGTAGTGAAATATTTAAAAACTTTTAGGAATTTAAATGAGAAAAAACAAATATTTGATTGTTTAAATTTTAAAGACAAAATAATTTTTATAAGATGAAATATTTTTAAAATTTTTGTTTTAAAAGTAAACATTTTTTGCACCAAATTGTTTTGTTCATAAAAGTGCATTTATTGGTGATATTTTCAAAATTTGTTACTGAAAGTCTATTTTTTTACTTTTCGGAACAAGACCTTTTAGTGACGACTCTCACAGCGACATGAAGTACTACCTGAATATTTTTTGTAACAAATTTTAACTTTTGAGAGTAAAAATGTTTGATCCATAAAACTCTTATAGGTGGTATTGCAACCTTTGATGCATCACCATTATTAGCCCTTTTAATGTGTGACGTCCAATGGAGAGTATTCACATTTTTATGAAAGATTATGTACGAGGCGGCAACTTGAATTGCACTAGAAACTCTTGACACACACACATACCAAATGAGAGAGATGTAAGTGTAGGGCACTCTCTCATATTCATTGCACATTTTAGCAGGATTGTAATTAATTTTGTTTAACTTTTTTCATTTTTATTTTTCCATCCACCTTTGTAGCATAGAAGAGATAATCATGCCGTGCATCAGGACATGTATGTATGGCCGTGGTCGTGCAGAATTAAGGAAAAGATGGGATCATTGGGACTTGAGGGCTTTAGTTGTATGCATCCTCTTGACTCAATTATACCTTCATGTTTTCGGACGACTTCGCAGAAAGAGTACAATGGGAATGATGATCGTTACAATTGTTTGGCTTATTTACTTGCTCTCTGACTTGTTTGCAACACTTGCTCTTGGAAAGCTCTCCAAGCTTCAAGGTAATGATCAGGATATTGATGCAGTCAATCTGTTGAAGGGTTTATGGGCACCGATAATCTTATTCTTTCTTGGAGGTCCAGATACTATGACTATCTTACGCTTGGAAGAAAATCAGATGTGGTTGAAACACCTAACAGGATTACTTACACTAGGTCTAAGAACAGTTTATATCACGTATCTTACATGGGATAGAACGTATGTGTTCTATCTCCTAACCTTGTTGCTGCTTTTTCCTGGACTTCTTAAGTATGGAGAGAGAGTGTGGGTGATCAAGTCAAGAGCTATGGAAAAGTATGAGGGTTTTGTTGAGTTGGATCAATCCACAATTAGCAAATTTAGTAATGCACAAGCACTCCGACCTAATGGAAAGCTAGTGCTGCAAGCATATTCCTATCTCCATATCTTAAAACCTCATGCTCTCAATTATGAGCCTGATAGGTCCGAATTAGAAAAATTGGTAAAAGAATTCCACGAATTGGTGGTTGAAAGGGGTAGTGTTCACAATACTTTCAAATTAATTGAGATTGAGTTGGGGTTGATGTATGACATGCTTTTTAGCAAAATCGGCACAATTTTTACATTGTGGGGAAGTATTCTCAGATTTATTAGCATGTCTTGCATTGTTGTGGTTTTAACATTGTTGGTTATCAAGTTGAAAAACCCTCTTAAGCCTCCTGCAGATTTGCACATTGATCTTCCAATTACCATAACTCTGCTTGCCGGAGCACTTCTCTTAGAGATAGCTGGGGTTCTTGAGCAACTTGGTTCAGATTGGGCAATTGTCTGGGCATGTAAGCATTATCCGAGTAAGTTGGTCACACCAATTTTTGATCTCCATGAACTTCCGATCTTTAAAAGTAAAAGGTGGTCTGAACTTATGGGACAATTCAGCCTGTTGAATTTCTGCATCAAAAAGAAGTCGAAAATGTTCAATGATATTGTGGAGCATTTTTGTGGTAGGGAAAAAATGTTGGCGAGATTCTGCTTGCCATCGAGCCCAATACATCCTAGTTTGAAAGAACTAATCATCAATCAGCTTCAGCAGAAGGCAAAACATATTTCAGAAGTTGAAACATCTCAGGTTTCAACTATGAAAATAAGTGAGTGGACCCTTGGGAGTTATGGATATCTAGATGAGTTTAAGTGGATTATCGATCTAGAATTTGAGGAAAGTATTGTCGTTTGGCATGTTGCTACAGATGTTTGCTATCATTCAGAGTTGGAAGGTTCTAGGTTGGTCACAGATGAAATAGAAGCAACCAAAACATTATCATATTACATGATGTATCTTCTATTCATATGTCGTTCTGGTTTACCATTCTGTAACAATGATGCCAAGGTTCTGCAGGCTTATACTAAAGTGAAGAAATTTTTTGAAGCAAGAGAATCTGCGTCATCTAAAGTTGAACCGTATAAGTTGCTGCTTCAGAGAGAATTGGTCTCCGACAATGTGACAATAAACAACATACACAAACTTGTACGTAGTTTGATGGATAAAGAGAACAGGTGGAAGATCATGAGTAATGTGTGGGTGGAGATGTTATGTTACGCCGCGAGTCATTGCCCAGTGAAAAACCATGTTCAAGAGCTTAGACGTGGAGGACAATTTGTCACTCATGTTTGGCTTCTACTTATGCACTTTGGCGTAAGAAAAAGGTCAGAGGGAATTACGTTTCAACCAACTACTGACCCAAAGCAGTTTGACAGGGGAATGAGAGATTTGGTTGGAGGACTTGCAAAAGTTGGGCGTGAGATTATGGACCAGGGCAACTAATATAAGTACGATGGGTCTGTGACGTTTTGGAAAGGATATTGTTTGGATTGTTTTGCATCTTTAGGAGAAACTATTATTTCAAGTTGTTTGCCTTGTTATATGACGTTTCATTGTTTTAATTTTTATGGTTTTTGTGATGGCCTCAGTAGGCTTTAGTTGTAATTGTTATATTTGGGTTGCAGTTTTCTACCTTTATGTATAATGTATTGATGTTTCTCTTTTCTACTCTTATAGTAGAAGAAATTTATCTCAAGGTCATACTTTTGTTGCTTGTTTTATTCAGCTATTCCATATATAAAATATATATATATATTTGTACAACAATGATTCATCCCCCTTTTCCTCCCACCCCCTTTGACCCTCTCTCTCTCTCATTGGTTACATTTTCTTTTTCTTTTTCTTTTTTTTCCTGCTCCTCCAATCACCATCCACCACGTGGCAAAGGGGGGGTGAGGGGTGACCCCCAAAAGGGGTCCCAAGCATTATTCATATTTGTATTCTTGTATCAGTTGTTCCTCTCACCCAATTTCTTTTTTTTCTTTTCTTTTTTTTTTTTTTAAGGCAAAGAAAGAGGATTTATTGATAAATAAATAAATTCAAAAAACCAAATTCAAGAAACCCCACCAAGATCATGTTAGGGAAAATATGTGATTCCCCACAAGTAAATCAATCAATGAGAATAAAAACTAATGAAGAAAAATTAAATCAAAAGCAACACAAAAATTTTTACATGGTTCTCTCAATGTGAGGTACATCCACAGGATCGAAATCCGATTCCACTATCAACCAAATAAGCTTCCAAACGATTACAAACAAGACCCGAATGGTCTCACAAAACTACTTTTAGGTGAATTCCAAATAATCACAAATAAATAAGAGAAAAAACCTCACCAAATAGACGAATAAAAATCTTCAAACCAGAGTTGTAGAAAACTCAAAGTAACGAACCAAATCAGCCGAAACAGTGCAACTAGCCGAAGATCCACACCTTAATCAATTAACCCACTGAATTGATTTTTCTGCAAGCACTATCTCACAAAACAAAAGTGTATGCTACTGCCGCTGGTTTTTCCACGGGACAAACAAAACAATATTATATATATTGTTAAATCTTGGGTTTGTTTTATCAAAACCGTTGTAACCAAATTAAATTGGGTCTCTAAATTAGATATAATATATTAAAATATATTATACCCAAATTAAAACAAATTAAAATTCTTTTTTCAAAATCAATTGGGTCTTAAACTCCAATAAGGAGATATTCCCCAACAGATCAAACCAACCCCAAGGAACATCCTCTCCCAAAAACTGAAACAAAGGAAAAAGTACTCAAATTTAAGACACCATGTAACAACCTTACAGCAGTACTAAAATTTAAAACACCATGTAAGAAAATTTGGAAGGCCATCCCTCTAGCAATGTTGTGGTCTACTTGGAGGCATAGGATTATGATTGTATTCAGCCTAATATGAATGAGTTAAGTGATCCAATCAAAAGCAGAGTGGCTATGTGGGTAAGATCAGCATCTCCAAGGTCACAGTACTCTGTCCATGATTTGGTTTACAACACCAGGTTAGATTTTGCAGTAAGGAAATAGGATGACCCCAATGCTGGTTGATGAAGCTTCTATTGATTTGATGGGCTTTTTTGGGTGACTACTGGGTTGATGTCTTTTGCTTTTGACTTGCTCTGCTTTGGACTATTCAGCCTGCTTTGGATCCTTGTGGGTGCTTTGGTTGGTTTCTCACCAACAAGTGTGTGCTTGCATATGATTGGGTTAGGTCTTCAGTGTTGGGATGGGTTTGTCTAACTATGATACTTGTAACACTCATGTTCCTTTTTCTTTATTGATGTAATGATCTTGTTGTAACCTTCATTTTTCATCAATAAAGTGTTTTCATTTTTTTTTTTCTTTTGGCTGTTCAAAAAAAAAAAAAATGTAACAACCTTATAGAAGTTTCGAATCTGAATCTCTCACTCTTCAATGCAAGAGATGAAATATGCCTTCACCCATCAAGCAATACAAACTGTTGGTGCATAGTGCACTTACGTTTATTTTAATATTAGCACTATATATACATATTGTAATGCATTTATGGGTATACATATATTATGTCATAAAATGTAGTTAATCAGATTATAATTATATAATAATGCAATATGGTGAATTGAAAGGATTTGAGTGTGTGTTTATTACTCTTAGCTAATTATGCAGGTGAGTAACATTCTATATAATTCATGTGAAAGGTTATAAGTTACATGATTTATTATGGTGAGTTACAATTAAAGATGAGAACTCTTCATTTTTGTTTGTGTATATATATAAATTAGAGCTTGTGCATTCCTAAGTTGTGTGGAGAATTATAAGTGTATCTATATGTATTTTATATTGTGTTTATACAGAAATAATTAGGCAGCTTGAAAACGTCTTCTTGTGATGGAGTTTTGGACTCACCTATTTGTGCAGGGTTGACTGAGTCAACACAACTATAAGTCGAACTGTTATATCTTGAGAAAGACGGGCTAATATGTGATATTCTGCTGCATCAAGAAATAGTAGTTTTACCAACCAATAAGGGTTTGAATCTCTTTAAAGAGAGCGAGATTACCGTGTCTCAGTCCGATTCATTGTGTATTCATATATTTGGAGATATGATGTGTAATACATATTTAGGTCCCGTTTGGAAATTGGCTATTTTTTTGGCTTTTTGGTTTTTGACTATTTTAGTATGATATTTTAGTTTTTGTGTTTAGAAAGATGAGTTGGATTGTTGTATTGGGAAACGTGTTTGAAATGATGTTAAACAATGAAATAACAAAAATGGCCCTAGGAAGAGTATGTCCTTGTTGAATGATGTGGCATTGCCCTCTGACTTGGGAAATGTATTTGGACTCCATCTAGGCATATAAAAATGGTCCCCAACACGTGGGCCGCCCCGAAGTCCGCCCATAGTCGGGGACGGCCCCGGGCCTAACCCAACCCGGTTAGGCCTAGGTCCGAGCCCAACCCCTAGTCCCTAAGCCTAGGCTGTCATTTTGAAGCTCGGCCCATGGTTCGGCCTATCGTCCTGGTTAAGGCCCACTCAAAGCCCAACCTAAAGCCCCGTCCGCCCAAGACCAAGTGTCATTTTTAATGAAAAAGAATAAGCTTTTAGTGGAAAAAATACAAAAAAATTTAAAAAATCCTCAGGCCTGTCCAAGGCCCTGAATATTCCCTGAGTCTGGGCTTAACTTTCTAGCCCGTAGACCAGTCCAGCTCGACCCGAATTTTAGCAGGAGCCCAGGCGACTCGATATGGGTCAGGCCAGGCCTACTTTACACCTCTAGCTCCATCTATTGTTGTGTATCTCAATCTTCACAAGGGACAATTTGGACATTTGATGACCTAAGCTAGCAGTGCTGTCAAGGCACATGGTCCTTTTTTGTTTGTATATGTTTTTCTACTATTTTCGCTGTGAGGCTAAAATAGCCTTCTCAACCCACTTCCCAAACATTGCCTTAAAATAGGGGATGAGAGGTAAGATCCGTGGATATAGGCAAATTTGGTATCGTGGACGAAGGGTAATATTCGTGGATGTAGGCAAATTTGTCGAATCACGTAAATCTAGTGTTGATGATGATAATTTTTGTCCATATTTATTTTGACTCTATAATTATTTATTTATTTTAGTTAATACTCCAACACAAACCAATACCAAATCTACAACATCTCGCCATTCCGAAACAACATTTACAGTTCAAGAATCCTTTATAAAAATGAGTTATACAAGGCATCTTAGCTAACAAACACATTATGATAAATTATTAGTAAGTTCTAATAGTTTGACGTAATTCCAATCAAGTTCTATTAGAAGTTAGTCCTAGTAAAATCGTCGATAAAAATAATTTTGTGTGTACGTCGCTAAAAATTGACAATTAGTTACTTTTTTGTTACGATTTTTATAAATTGTCGCTAAAACTTATAATTAATGACATTTTTCTATGACGAATTTTTAAAATTTGTAACTAAAAGTTAAAAATTAGTGACTTTTTTTGGTGATAATGTTTTTAAACTATCACTAAAACTTATAATTAGCAACTTTTTGTGACAAAATTTTTAAATTGTTGTTGAAAATTAATAATTAGTGATATTTTTTAAATAGTGTTTAATGAAAAATATCGTTAATTATAACAAGACCTATTAAACAACAAACCCACTTATTAAAATCTAAACATAAATTTCTCCGAACATGATATCTCTAATAGGTTAGAGATGCTCTAACAACATCCTTGAAACTGTTATTAAGATTTCTCGAGAGTGAAATACATCAGCCCTTCAGATAAGGGTAAAATGGACAAAAAAATATTGTGAATTTAGACTTTGTTTGGGATATCTTAAAAAAGTTAAAAAGTCACTATCCTATTTAAGTCATATCATCTTATTTAAATCATAATACCTCTCTATGCCATCATTTCAAACCCAATCTATATTTCACAAAAAATTAAAAAATACACTTATTAAAATCATCTTAAATCACGCCATAAGATTGTGATCTCAACTCATAATAGGACGGATCCGTATATATAGCTGGCAGAGAATAAAAAAACGTAAAACTACAAGACCCATGACGCACGAGAAATGATCTCATAAATTTAAAAATAATAGTAATAATAATTACTTCCTTGATAAAGATGAGTATCCACCCGGCTGTAAGGAAAGGATCTGTAGATGGGAGGAAGACTACCTTTTTTTTTTTTTTTTTTTTTTTTTTCAAGATTTACATTTTACACTCACAAATATACCTATAATAATATATAAAGATAGTGGGCTTGTTTAGTTTGTGTTTGGGAGAGTTATTTTTGAAAAAAAAAAATTGAGGAGAGAGTTTAGAAATTTTTTTGATTTGTTTGGTTGTATATTTTGGGAGAGTTATTTTTTTGAGAGTTTGGGATGATTTAATATTTTGAGAGAATTTTAGTAGATGTGTGTGAGAGAAAAAGTGATTGAGAATGAGAGAGGAGAGAGAAAAAGTGATTGATTGATGTGTAAGAGAGAGAAAGTGATTTTAGAAATTTTTTAAGAAAAACTCAAACCAATAATTTTTTAGAAATTTTTTTCTAAAACTCATCTCCCAAAAGCAAACCAAACATACCCAGTAATTTTTATATAATTGAGTGCAAAATTAATTAAAAATTAATACTTATCAAATCACATCATTGTAGATTTATTTTTTTTGGGGGGGGTAGACTACCTTTAGCCTTGATCTATCTTTGCTAATATAAAAATTATTTCTTTATT